TCTATTCTTTTGTAAGGCAGTATGTATGGTCTATGGATGGTTGATTATGTTGTTCCATTGAATCTTTTACAGTTTTACTGAAAAATTGTTAAATATCTGGCTGCTTAAATGTGATTTTAGTAATCCATGCTCCAGGCTTCATCATTTAGAGTTATTAATGATCCGYACCTTTTCAACTTTATGCTCATTGACATGGTTTCATATGATCATTGTATTTACCACTTGCACATCTATACATTTTGTAGAATGATCTTATGTACCACTTGCACAACTCAGCACATGCTTTTATATTAAGAAGGAACTTGGAAGCCTTCTTATGTACTAATTAGTTATACACATATTTACGTGTTGTGAATGAGGGATGATGTTAAGAGAGAACTTTATAAAGGAAAGTTTCCACAATTTAAAGTTTGAGTTCCTTGCATTCTTTAAAACAAATGAAGCTCATTTTCTCTTTCCTCTTGGGTTTTAATGAGGCATCCATGCCAAGAGATTTGTTGTGTACAATAATAAAGAGGAAGAATATCTTTTTATGTTTGTTTAATTTTGTTATAATAATTGTTTGATTAATTTGTTTTGAAGGTGAACATCTTTCGGGGTATTACTTTGCCAGATGCTCCAAGATTTGGGCAGGTTTTTGGAGGACAGTTGGTTGGACAGGCATGCTTTGTATTTGTTTTTTCTTTTTCTTTTTTTTTTTTGTTTATGCACACAAAGTGCAAGAAAAAGTGATTCCCTATTAACAATATTGGCAATCACACAAATAGACACAAAAATGTAATTATTGCAATACTTGCACCAGGATTTAGTGTTGCCTTTTTATGACCTGCCAATGAGCTGAACTTTTTCTTTTGAATAGTTAATAAACTCGAGTTTTTCAGTGATAAAATTGAGATCTGTACCAGTTTTAGTTTTAGAATAACAGTAGAAGAAGAGAGAAGAGAGAAGGAAGAAGAAGAGAAGAGGAAGAACAGACGTGAAGAGAGGAGAATAAAAAGTTGGTTCAAACTACATAAGACTACTCTCTTTAGTCGGCCAGATTGATATTTATAGTTTTCTAATTAGAACATAAAGATTGTTATACCCCTACTTAAGTATGGGACACATCACCTAAGTTAGACATTACATCACACTTCTAACATAAAGCAAAAGACCAAACTACCCCTCTACAGTTGACTCTAACACTCCCCCTCAAGCTGGCGAGTATATGTCATATAGTTCCAGCTTGTTAAATATGTAATCCACTCCTCCCCAATTTAACCCTTTGGTGAACAAGTCTGCCCATTGACTTCCTGTGTTTACATATGCAAGACTTATCACTCCACTAAGCACATTCCCTCTCACAAAGCAACAATCAACTTTTATATGTTTTATTCTCTCATGAAAAACTGGATTGGAAGAAATGTGGATTGCAGCTTGCTTGTCACAATAAAGCTTCGTAGGGGTATCAATCGAGTACCCCATCTCTTGTAATAGATTCCTCAACCACACTAGTTCACATGTTGTATGTGCCATAGCTTTATATTCAACTTCTACACTTCTTCTTGTTTTTCCATGTCACCAAATTGCTCCCAAGAAAAGTACAATAGCCTATAGTGGACCTCCTGTTAGATATAGAACCGACCCAATTAGCATTAGTGTATCCTTCTATCTCAAGGCTTCCTCCACACTTGTATAACAAGCCACAACCTAGAGCTCCCTTCAAGTACTGTACAGTCCTTAGAACTATATCCTAATATGGAACTCAAGGATTCTGCATAAACTGACTCACTACACTAACTGCAAATGAGATATCTGGCCGAGTAATGGTTAGGTAGTTTAACTTACCCACCAACCTCCTGTACCTCACGGGATCTTCAAACTCCTCACCTGCATTATGAATTAACTTGACATTTGGTTCCATGGGTGTTTCAGCTGGTTTGGCACCCAACAATTCTGTCTCTAATAGATCAAGGACATACTTCCTTTGACACAAATTAATACCGTGCTTAGACCTTGCTACTTCTATCCCCAAGAAATATTTTAATTTACCAAGATCCTTTGTTTGGAAGTGATCATGCAGAAAGGTCTTTAGCCTATCAATTCCCAACCTATTACTGCCGGTAATAACAATGTCATCTATATATACCACCAATAAAATCTTCCCAGCACTTGAATAATAGCTTAATACTGAATGATCAACCTGACACTGTTTCATGCCAAACATTTTTACCACTTCACTGAGTCTACCAAACCACACACGCGGGGACTGTTTAAGTCCATAAATGGCCTTCTTTAGTCCGAACACCTTACCATCCTCCCCTGAGCAACAAGCCTCGGTGGTTGCTCCATATAAACCTCTTCAAGGAGATCACCATGTAAAAAAGCATTCTTGATGTCAAGCTAGAACAAAGGCTAATCATACATAGCAGCTAGAGATATCAAAACACGAACTGAACCAATCTTAGCAACAGGAGAGAAGGTTTTTGTGTAGTCAACACCATACATTTGGGAGTAACCTTTTGCATCCAACCAAGCTTTCAACTACTCTACACTACAAAGGGTATCGGTGCTTTGACCCAATTAGTCGTAAATTCTTTGTGTCTATGGACGTGTCCTTCTTTGAGTCCGAGCCATTCTTCCCTCTTTCTCCTCAGGGGGAGAGTCGTAGTGTGGAAGAGAAGAAGCAGGTTCAGGTATCTCTTCCTTCTATTCCGGACCTTACTCCCTTCCGTGTCTTCCAACGTACACGTCAGAGAGATTAGCGGGGTGATAGAAATGTGGAGCAGCCAAACACTGAGCAACTGATACCATTAGACTCCCAGGAGGTAAGTCCATCCCCTAACCCTACTCCTACTCCTACTGTGGTTGACCTTGACATGCCTATTGCCCAACGAAAGGGAGTCAGGTCCTGCACTACCAAACACCCCATTACCCACTTTGTCTCCTATGACCACATTTCTCCCTCGTACCGAGCTTTCCTATCGGCAGTTGATTGCATCCCTGTTCCCAAAAATGTTGCAGAAGCCTTAAAATGCCCTGAATGGGTAGATTCCATGAAGGAGGAGATTAATGGCCTCTACAAAAGTCAGACTTGGGAATTGGTGGATCCTCCAAAGGGGAAAGACCCCGTGGGGTGCAGATGGGTGTTCACAGTTAAGCACAAGGCATATGAAACAGTTGAAAGGTACAAAGCAAGAATAGTAGCCAAAGGGTATACACAAGTACATGGAGTTGACTATGATGAGACTTTTGCCCTGGTGGCTAAGATGAACTCGATTAGGGTTCTCCTGTCCTTAGTTGCTAATTTTGACTGTGAATTGCATCAACTGGACATAAAGAATGTTTTCCTGAATGGTGACTTAGAAGAAGAGGTATACATGGTTCAACCTCCTGGATTCTGTGCCAAGGGGAGTGAAAATAAGCTATGCAAGCTACGAAAGTCTCTTTATGGCTTAAAACAGTCTCCCAGAGCCTGGTTTAGTAAGTTTCACATGGCAGTTCAAGAGATGGGATTCAAACAATGTCAGTTTGATCATACACTCTTTGTGAAGAGATGTCAAGAGCAGGTTGTTGTATTGATAGTGTATGTAGACGATATCATCATTATAGGAAGTTGGATCTCAGAAATACAGAACTTGAAACAATTCCTTGCATCGAAATTTGAAGTGAAAGATCTAGGACTCCTGAAGTATTTCCTTAAGATTGAAGTTGCCCGCTCAGAAAAGGGTATCTTTGTCTCTCAAAGGAAATACACCATTGATCTATTACAGGATACAGGTAAATTTGGTGTAAGGCCGGCAAATACTCCTATGGGTGTGGACCACAAGCTAGGTGACTGTGTTGGTGAACCTCTGAAAGATGTGAAGCAGTTCCAAAAGTTAGTGGGAAAGCTGATTTATCTGTCCATGACCCGTCCAGACATTGCCTATTCCGTTGGGGTCCTGAGTCAGTTTATGCACTCTCTTAAGAAGCCACACATGGAGGCAGTAGAGAGAGTCCTTAGATACTTGAAGAAATATCTAGGAACAGGCCTACTATTCARTAAACACAATCACCTAAAGGTGGAAGTCTTTACAGATGCTGATTGGGCAGGAGCTGTGGATGATAGAAAGTCCACTAGTGGGTATTGCACATTTGTGGGAGGAAATCTGGTGACCTGGAAGAGCAAGAAGCAAAGTGTGGTAGCAAGGTCAAGTG